CCAGGCGCGTTGTAATAAACGTGACATATTTCAGAGAAAGAACAGAAAAGCAAAACTTGGTCTACTGGCGCATGGGAAAAGGCAGGTCAATCGGCTATTTCAGCAGGTTTTATGACAAAACGTGGATTGGCCCTATCTAGAGCCAGTTGTTAGTTTGTCCATTCTGGGCTAGCTGTAGAAACATGCGGGCCAACACACAGACAGACCACCCACAGCGTGACACTGTCTCGTAGACCTACGAAAGGAGCTGTGCATCCGGTCGCTAGGGTAACAAAAAACAGACAAAGAGAGAGATCCTCGCAGTGCAAGATATAAGAAGTTGAACATAACACTGAATGAAAACATACCTTAACGAATCATTATTTCATTTCTTCTAAACAAACTCACGAATACCTCCTAAATGTTTTCACCACTGGACCTTTAAGAAGAGGTCCACTCAACTCATCCTCATTATTGTATCTGCTGACGTTCTCCCAAATAAACATTCGATTACAGGCTGGTTCCTGAGAATATTTCACCGAGCTTACAAGAGACAGCTCAACAGCCGAACTTTACATTCGAAGAACTGGGGCAGGTTGTATCTCAGTTGGAAACTCAATAACATGTACTCACTGACCTTCTAGTAAACGATAAGCCATCAATACGCCATATCTCTTGACTTGACAACTCTTGCCCTTTTTTTTTTTTTTTTAAATAAGGCTCGACTTCCACAATCATATACACTGTTCAGTACAGCTCTCTAAAGTATATTCTGCTGGAATCTGATCGGAGGTTTAACATGTAAGTTAACGCTAATTACAAAAGCATTTTACATGGCGTTCTTATTGTACTACTAATTGTTTGTTAATTATACAGTTATTTGATTCACTTCTCATGTACAGTCCTCTTAAACAGACATAGCCACGATCTGACATATCATATAGTTGATCGATTTGATTTACTGATGCAAATATGAGATAGGGCATAAAACAAAAAAGGACAACAAGGACAACGAGAAGAGCTTAGAATTGTGTTCGTGTCTGCGTGCGACTCAAATGGAGGATATCAAGGTTCAAAACAGTGTTCATTGGTTCTGTACGGAAGCCCTAAAGGGCCATCCAATGTGAGGCCCGGAAGTGGGCAGGAGGCGGTTTGTCATCCACTTATCACGTCATAGCATCAAAAGCAAGGAAAATGCGTTGACTCAGACATCTTGGTGGAAGCGACATATACACAAATAAGAAAGGAAAAAACCAAAACTGGATTTACGGAGCAGGGGGATAACATTCTAAAGGGGGGGAAAGGTGCCGGCGCCAGTTGCATTGCGGCGCTTTGTCAAATTAATACATAATTTGATCTAAGATCTTTTAAAACAGAGGAGTTCATTGATTGCTGCTGTTTAGGCGGGACATATTTGTTTACGGAAGCCGCTTAAAGGGAACCATTGATTCATTTGACATTTTTATCCTTCCATCTCTTTCCCGTTGATAACGACTTAAGTTTTCTCGAGATTCTCCGCGAGATACCACCGGAAAACTCTTTGTTCCCGAGATAAAAACGATATAAATTAATTCGAGATCGTCGAGAAATTT